ATGTATTTTTTTACGTATATTTAACTGGTGATTTTGGACCTTTCCAGATGGCTTTTTTGAAGGCTTGAAAATTTTTGAAGTTATAAGAAGAACCAGAAGAAGGAAAGATAGAAGGGAAAGATAAAAGAAACAAAATTTTTTTCTTTTTTAGAAATATCGCTTGCCTTGTGAACGGATAGCAACAGCACTGTTTTGTGTTCTGTGGCTTTATCTATCTGTCTATAGAAATTAATGTTAACATAACTTCCGATGTGAATGTTAATGCTAAAAAGTCAATTATAATTGATAAATTTATATATACAATATATTTTTTGCTGAAAAAAAAATTTATTAAAAAATTTTTTCGCATCTCTGAACTGTTTGCGTCGATCTGTGGGCCTAAAATATTGTTGTTGGCTGTCTGTCTGTGCATTAAATGCCAGGTAAAACTTTTTTTTTTATAAAAATAGATTTTCATAAATAATTTCTACTTATCAAATAATATATTCCAGAGATGACCGGAAGAAAAAAAAGCAAATGAATTTTCTGAGTACTGAGAAGGAAGGAGGGGAGGAGGAAGGGAAGGGAAAGAAGGTTGGGGAAAGGAGAGCAAATAGGCAGATTTGATATTAGGAGGAAAATTAGATTTTTAAAAAAAGTAATCATCGGATATAATGTATACTCTGCATTTATTTATCTCTCATTTATATTCTTTGCTTTCTTTCTTTCAAATGGAAGCTGTTGTCAGTGTTTCAAGTTGACCACCTGGACGAGAAGTTTAATCACCTTTATTTGTTTATTTTTTTTGTCTTTAAGAAATCAGGAAGAAAAAAGTCTTAATGAATAGTTTGATTGCTCTATGATGGATGGCTGTGTGCTTATGCTGTTTTTTTTTTCATGTTATTTGACAACGTCTGGGATGTTTTGAGAATGTAATGAAGGTGTTAGTGGTGGTGTTGATGTTACTGCAAGTGTTGACTTGGCTACTGTTTACAGACGTTTTGGTTATGCTGAATACTGAGCACTGGTGGTTTGATGTACTGGTAATGGGTGAATAGTTAGGCAGAGGAGTTTCAGGTACGGAACAAAGAAACATGATCTTAGGTGTCAAAAGTGATAGGTTTCTTTTTTTTTTTTTTTTTTTTTTTTTTTTT